GCCTCTGGGAACTTATTAAAAATGCTAAGTTTTGCCTTTACCCAACTCAGTGAGCTACGTAGGGCAGGGCCTGGAAACCATTTTCACATGTCCTCGTGTCCAAATATATTAAAATTTCAGAAGCATTTTTCACCCTTTGCAACAGCTGGAATCCCAGCCATGACAGGGATCAAAGGCTTGCGGCAGTGCTCCTGGGTGATCCCAAATCGCCTTTTTTGCTCAGAAGCCAGAACCAGAGGGCAGGTGGATTTCCTGTGAACAGGTGTGGAAGGCTGGACCAGGTCATCCGCCGAGGATTGGTACTAATGTTCAGTGTTCCCCTGTACCCTACAGAAGCCCTTTGGGATAACATGCTCCACTGGCTGGCGGAGGAGCTCTTGGAAGAAGAACAGGCCGAGGCTCTGTCCTCATCCCTCCCTCTACGCCGCAGCACCATTCAGCTCCTCAAACTCAAGAACCCCGATGATCTCACAGAACAGATCCACGAACTTCTTTGCTTCTGGAAAAAATCGCTCCCAACTTCCGACAAACTGCTCCTCCTGGCCCGTCATCTCCACAAGATCGGCAGGAGGGATCTCGCAGAGGCGCTCAGATTCAAGTGGGAAAATCAAGTGTTCACCGAACCGCAGCAGTGGCTCCACCCGGCCGCAGAGTAGAAGGCGCGTCCATCTTGCGTTGCCCTAGAAGAAGGCACATGGTGGTTTTTTAAAGATCGTTTCTGTCAGTATTTTCCTAGCAGTTTCCAACTGACTTTTGAAGTAAGTCTATTTGATAGTTGTGCCGCTGAGAAATCAACTGAAACACGGGGAGATCAATGATCAAACAATAAAAGGCCTTCCTGGGCCCTTCGTGGGTGAAGAATGACATGACGTTTTGCAGCCAAGATTGAGTTCAGGGGGACCTAATAGCGTTTGCAATTGAGTTTGCCCTGTTGAAATTTTAATAGCTGAAGTTGCTTTCTACATGCACAGAAAAAGTGCAATAAACAGAATCACTTTTTTATTGTTATCCATAACTCCAAGCAACCAACTCAAGTTCCACAGAAACCATGGAGCCCGCAGGTAACAATACAAAAGGACTTGAATTTGGATACCTGATCCTGGTGATAGGAAAGAGACTTTAAGAGAACAGAGAAGTGGCTCGGTGCCTGTGGCTCAAGTGGCTAAGGTGCCAGCCACATACACCTAAGGTGGTGGGTTCGAATCCAGCCTGGCCACCAAACAGTGATGGCTGCAATCAAAAAATAGCCAGGCCTTGTGGCAGGTGCCTGTGGTCCCAGCTACTTGGGAGGCTGAGGCAGGAGACTTGCCTGAG